TATCTGTGAGCTCAAGGCCAGCCTGGTCTACATAGCAAATTCCAGGCCAGCTGGGGCTACGGGGAGACCCTGTCTCAAAAATACAAAAAAAAATAAATAAATAAAAATAAAATAAAATTTAAATTTTTTGAAAACTTAAAAATGAAAATAAAATCTTTAAAATTCTAGATGGAGGAAAAGAGTTGAGAGCTTTTGTTTTCAGAACAGCAAGTTAGCTGTAAATATTTTAATTTTACTTTGCTGAAAAGATCATAGAAATATGATCTGAGACATTGCAAAGATGAGACAATTTTCCCCAAAGTGCAATTTAATGCATTGGGACACACGCGCGCGTGCGTGTGTGTGTGTGTGTGTGTGTGTGTGTGTGTGTGTGTGTTCCAGCCTCAGTCTTTAGAGCTGTATTGTCATGTGCTATGGATCCATTTTTCCTGGAAGACCCTAACCTGAAGAAGTTTCCCTGTCTTGGAGATTTTGTGATTCATTTTAATTTGGGTCACTGTTTGGGAAAGATGAGCTGTTTCTAGATATGAAGTAGAGTTTTTCCATGAGACAGAATGTTTATTTTGTATTTGAAAGCTCCACTGTATTTGTTTTACATCATTTTATGCAGCAAGGTGACACTAATGCTGAGCTTTAAAATGTGTTTTTAATCCTAAAGTGCTTGGTGCACACCTGTAGCCCAGCACTCAGGAGGTGGAGGATCAAAATTCAAGGTCATCTTTAGCTACATAGTGAGGCCAGCCTGGGCTACCTGCGAGCTTGTCTCAAAAACAAACACGAGTACTTGATAAATAGAAAATGGTTAGTAAAGGGTATTGAAATTTTATATTGAAATTACATATAAAAAGACATTCATTGCATTTTAAATGAAGCATGAAGCAAAGGTCACCAAACACAAACACTAAAGCAATGCTCAGTATTGTAGATAGGCCATTATATTGGGCCTGTGGTTCTTTGTTGAAGAGAATGACAGTCCCATCTTCATGGGGTGGGGGTAGGTAGGCCGGTGCCAGGCAGGCTCACCATTCACCATGAGGATTATGTCTTTCATCAGAGTATCTTATTTTGGCAAGGTCTCAGGCTAGCCTCAAACTCACAGAGAGTACTGGGATTAAAGTCTAGCTCCACTAAGCCAGACACCTGAATACCCTTTGAAATTTGCAGGTAACGTTAAGGCAGCGCTGCAGAGGGACACTCTTACTGTTGCTCTGACATTGTCCTGGCTGACATGATTGGCAGGTTTGAGATAGAGTACCAGGGGCTTTGGATGAAAAAGTACTGACTTGGATATTTACAAGTTAAATATATTTCAGGGAAAAAGCATTCTGATCACTTTAGTCCTAGTACTTTGAAAATCCAAAAGTTTTCAACATTTAAACACACTGAGAAGTGGGGTGACACTTAAGGAACCCAGACCCCAGAATCAGGCTGCAGGTCAAACACCCTGCAGCCTGGTTTTGCCAGATACAGGAACTTGGGCAAGTCTTCAAACCCAATTTTATAAAATGGGCCTGATAACGATCCCTATTGTTCAAACGTGGCATGGTGTGAAGGCTGGACAAATTAATACACGTGCACACCATTTAGAAAGTGAGTACCTTATAAAGATGTTTTGTCATGCATACCCATGTTGATTAGTATTGTATTAGAGCATAACTTGCGGGTTTTAAATATTTCTGAATTTTCAAGAGCCTTGTTTTATCCTCTAGTGCTTGGAGGAAATTATAGACATATTTGGGCTAGCTCATATTAACCTCTTTCCATCTGTGATCCTTCCCAGGAACCAGCCCACTTTGACCACTTCCAGGAGTGGCCGGATGGCTATGTGCGTTTCATCTACAGCAGCCAAGAGAAGAAGGCACAGCGCCACCTGAGCGGCTGGGCTATGCGCAACACCAACAACCACAATGGCCACATCCTCAAGAAGTCTTGCCTGGGTGTCGTGGTGTGCTCCAGCGCATGCGCCCTGCAGGATGGCTCACACCTGCAACTGAGGCCAGCCATTTGTGACAAGGCCAGACTTAAGCAGCAGAGTGAGGGCGGGGGACCACCTGGGAGGGGAGCCCCCTTTCTTCCTTCAGAAAGTTGTGAGCTCAGGCTGTGCTTACTATTTCTCCCTCTGGGGTTTGCAGACAAAGCTTGCCCCAACTGCCATTCAGCTCTGGAGTTGATTCCTTGCCGGGGGCACAGCGGATATCCTGTAACCAATTTCTGGAGGCTTGATGGCAATGCAATATTTTTTCAGGTAAGTGTGGTCAGAACACAATTTGTAATGAGTATTTTCATCATACTACGTGAACCAAACCACCTGTCATCTGTCCTGGTAACTAGATTAAGCCAATGATAGCCCCAGTGCTTACTATGTCCCTGATGGCTGCACCATCAGCTGGGTTTTGTTGTTTCCCAGACAGGATATCACTGTGTGACTCAGTCTGGCCTGGAACTTGCTATGTAGCCCAGGCTGACCTGGAACTCATGCCTTAGCCTCCTGAGTGCTGGAATCACAGCTGTGTGCTATCTTGTGGTTCATCGTCCTTTTTAAGGGCTAGATGTATGAACCCAGTCATGTGCACTTAATAGAGTGAAAGAATTGCAAGTCACTGTGTAAGATGTCCATCAGTGGCCTGGCTAAATGGCTTAGTAGGATTGCTGTCAAGGCTGATAACCTGAGGTCAATTCCTGGAACACACATGATAGAAGGAAAGAACCAACTCTCACAAGTTGTACCAACACAATAAATAAATCAATTTTTTTTAATTTAAAGATATGTATCATTATTGTTGTTTTTAGATAGGGTCCTGTTATGCAGCCCAGAATAGCCTGGAAGTCACTATATAAACCAGGCTGACCTCATACACACTGTGACCCTCAAGTCTCCCAAGTGCATGAGCCCCTACACCCAACCAAGATGTCTAATATTTATGGTGTTTTATTTGAACATTTTCTCTGGTGTTTTTATTTTTTTTTAACTTGGGAATTAGGAAAGGCATACTCAATTTTGGACCAGCTTCCAGCACAGTCAGCTTCCTTCCAGAGAAATAAATAGATGATTCATTTCTTCATTAATACAGGCCAAGGGCGTTCATGACCACCCAAGACCGGAGAGTAAATCAGAGACAGAAGCCAGAAGAAGTGCCCTCAAGAGACAGATGAGCTCTTTTTACCAACCCCAGAAAAAGAGAACTCAAGACCCTGAGGTAATAGGCGTGAATACAGCATGTTGAGGTCTGTGTCCATTTTCATGCAAGGGAAACTAACAGCTGACTGAAACATGGACATTACTCATTAAGTACAAAGGTTTGATTTCATATGGAATTTATATATGTCTAGCAAATGTCATTACATCAACATTGAGTTAGGATCTCTAATCCCGTCTTTAAAATAAGCAAACATGGGGCTGGAGAGATGGCTTAGCAGTTAAGAACACTGATTGCTCTTACAGAGGACCCGGGTTCTATTCCCAGCACCCACATGGTGGCTTTGAACTGTTCTTAACTCCAGTTCCAGGGGAATCCGAAGCTCTCTTCTGACTTCCACGGCATTGCACGACACAGGTGCACTCACATACATGCAGCCGTACACTCATACACATAAAATAAAAATAATAAATAAAATATTTTTAAAATAAGCAAACAACCCCTATAGGCAATGACAGTCAGTATCATGCTGACATCTTGATACAAGGACAGCTATCCCACAGTAATAAATGCAGTGGCACATCCTTATCCCCCAGGAGATACTTGAAACTGCAGATGGTATTAAAGTTGTATGTTCTAGAACTTTCTCCACACATGCATACCTTTGATAAAGCTTAATCTGTAAACTAGATATAGTCAGGGATTAACACTAATAACAAGATAGGACAATCAGGCCAATATGCTAGAATTAAAGTTATTTAAAACGTATTGGCTGTTTATGTTTGGAATATTCCATTTTGCAGGGGACTTGGCTAACCCAAAATTAAAACATTGGAAAGCAAAATCATGAATAAAGGGAGACAACTGTATGTTCATACCAACAGTGAATTAATGGGGTGTCCTTGAGAGGGTCATTCACATTTGTGTTCATTTTCTGTTGCTGCAACAAAATGCCTGAGATAATCTAAAAAGTGGAAAGATTTCTTTGGGCTCATGGTTTTAGAAACTTTATTCTATGGTCAGGGGACGCCATTGCTTCTTAAAGATTCCTCCACCTCCTTATGATGCCACTCTGGGGCATAACTTTGGGGGGACACTTGAGATCTAAATGCTACCAACATTATTTGCACAGGAACAGATAAGGTTTCTTTGGGCAAACTGATCCACTTTGCCTTTGCCACCAAAGCAGGCCAAGTTTGCAGAGAGCTAGTCAGGAGCGGAGCGTGACATTATTTTGGCACTTCCACATAACAAGTGCTGCTCTGGTGATGTTCCAGGTTACAGAATCCCCCTGAAGAGGTTACTAGAGTTAAGCCCCATGTTTAAAATGAAGAACCCAAGGTGCTGAGAAGTTAAAGTACTTGTTCAGTTTAAGATGGACAGAGGAGGATTTGAGCCAGATCTGAGTGGCTTCAGATCCAACACTCTATGAGACACATAGATGAGAAGAGAACCACCAGCTGCCTGGCTACTATAGACCTTCCTCATTCATTGTGTCCCTCAGCAACCTCTGGACCCCAGGCTCAAACTGGAAACCTTAGCAGGGCATGGTTCACTATACAGAGTGACCAACTAGAAGCTTGCTTTTAGTTATGTGGTTGGCTGTTGTGGATGATGATGTTCACAGCACTTACATGTTATATGTCACATGTTGTGTCTGTTTGTGTCCCTTTTTAGACAAGAGGCAATCAGGACAGCAATGGACACTTTAACAGCACACCTCCCCTGGAGTCCACAAAATTGTCTGATGTGGCTAATGATATCAGCTGCCTTGTTACAGGGCAGCCATGCCTTTCCTTCCCAAACTCCAGTGCCTACAGAGCTCCTTGTGACCCCAACTCCTGTCAAGGAGACATAATGCCACCCTTTCAGAAATATTCAAATCCAAGGATCTATTTGCCTAGGCCACCTTGGAGCTATGAATTAGCAGGCCCTGGGGATACAAGTTCAAGTCCATACTCCTCCCTGTGTAAAGATTCCTCCAGTATCCCTAATGATACAGACTGGATTCATCTGAACACACTACAATATGACATCAATCCATATAGCAGCTATGAGAGAAGCTTGGATTTCACAGGGAAACCTACTCTTGGAAAACCTGGCCTTGGGGAGAGGGCTGATCATGGACAGTGCCAGGCTGTGGCCATGCATCCTTACTACAACCCAGAGCTACCCTGCAGGTACCTCACAACACCACCAGCAGGTACCCCGGCTCTGCAGACAGTGATCACCACCACAGTGTCCTACCAAGCCTACCAGTGCCCTGCTCTGAAACACAGCAACAGCATACAGGAAGTCAGCAGCATTGCCAATTGTAACTACGCTTCTGAAAACCTCCCTGTGTCCTTCTATCCAGAAACCTTGGACCCTCCAGCGGCAGTCACCCAGGCAGCCTCTCCAACAGGGAGAACTCCTCTGAAAGTTCCAGGAGGTTGCTGGACCATTAGACCCGCTCTAGCTTTTCCTCAAGAGGCAGCTCCCTCGAGGATGGATGGAGCAGATGCATGGGATGTGTGTCTGTCTGGGGTGGGCTCTGCAATCAGTTACTTAGATAGGGCAGGGCAGTCCATTAATTTTGACAATGAGGACTTTTAGAAGGATTCCAGGGTGCATACACCATGATATCAGATGCAAAATGGTGTCTAGCTCTTATTGAGATCAAAGGTCATTTTATGTGAGGGAAAAAGTACACATAGGAGTGAGCATCAGGATCTCACTGTGTAGTCTAGACAGTCTTCTATTCATGATCCTCCTGCTCAGCCTCCCCTGTCCTGGAATTACAGACATGCACCACCAGGCCCAGCTATTCAGAATTTCTTTCTTCAGGATTTAGAGCCTGTTCAAATATTGTCAAGAAGTGATTTGGGGGGCTGGTAAGCTGGCTTGGTGGGAAAGACACTTGTGATGTGAGCCTGACAACCTGAGTTTGAGCCCCAGACTCCATAGTGAAAGGAGAGAACCAATTCACAAAAGTTGTTCTCTGGGCTGGAGCGATGACTCTACAGTTAAGAGCACTGGCTGTTCTTACAGAGGATCCAGGTTCGATTCCCAGCACCCACATGGCAGCTAGCAACCGTCCATAACTCCAGCTCCAGGGGAATCTAGTGCCCTCTTCTGACATCCACGGGCATTGCACAACATGGGTACACTTACACACATGTAGGCAATACACTCATACACATTTTTTAAAAAGTTATTTAATTTCCACACATACAATATGGCATGTATACACTTGCACACCTGTGCACATGCATGCTTGAGTGCACTCTCATGCACACACACACTAGCAAAAAATAAAAATTTAAAAAATAAGTAGTTTTGATCAGATTATCTTTCTATCTACTGCTTTAAAAAAACAGCCAGATGTGGTGGCACACACCTTTGATCCCAGCACCTGGGAGGCAGAGGCAGGCGAATCTCTGAGTTCAAGGCCAGCCTAGTCTCCATAGCAAATCCAGGCCCACTGGGTCTACAGGGAGACCCTTTCTCAAAAAAACAAAAAAAAAAAAAAAAAAAAAAACCTCTTTGGCAATTACAAAGTACAATTTTTTTTAATTGACTTTAGAGACAGTGAGATGGGTCAGTGGGTAAAGTACTTGTCACCAAGCCTGATGAACAAGTTTGATCACCAGGACCCAAATGGTTGGTCTCCCAAGAATTGTTCTCTGTCCTTCACATGTATGCTGTGGTACAGTCACATACACGAAAGTAAATAAGTGTAAGCATATGTGTCCACTGGATTATTATTGTACTAAATATGTTTTTTCTGATTAGGTTTCAAAGTTAGAATTAAGATGTCCTCTTCAAATATAGTTTTATTGTTCCTTTATTACTCTTCATAAATGTAATTGATAATGTTCAACCAATATAATATAGACATTTCAGAGTAATATAATCGATGCTTGAATTATTTCAAAACACTAACAGGAACAAACATTGCTCATAGGACAACTTGATAAAATTATGGTGAAGTATTAAAATTTAGTTTGACAATTTATTAGTTTATTTTAGAAATACCTATTGTTGCTCATATGACAACTGGGGAAAATTATCATAAAATATTAAAATTTAGTTTGACAGTTTATTTTATTAGTTTCAGAAATACTTATTTGTTGGGTCAACAAGATGGTTCAGTGTATAAAGGTGATTGCTCTACCAACCTGGAGACCTGAGTTTCAGTCACAGAAACCACATAAAGAGGAAGAAGAGGACTAGCTCCATAAGGTTGTCCTCTGCCCTTCACAGGTGCTTCATGGCACGTGTGTGCCCCCAACACATACAAATAATAAACATTTTTAAAGTGATGCCTATTGTTGTAGTCTAACATAAATCCTCTTCAAAACATTTTGAGTGGGGACTGGGGTATAGTGCAGTGGTGTAAACTAAAGGCTCCTCCAAAAAGCTGGAGCTGATGGGGCGATGCAGAGCACACTGGGCCGTTGCCATATTGGATACACTAACGCTGAGCAAGAGAGATCTGGGGGCGCAGAGATGGATGGCATGTGCGTTTCAAATATGGAAAAAGGAAAGCCTGTAAGAATCCATGTTTTTGTAAGTCATCCCCTGCCAAATGTCATATAAATTACGTGAAATCTAAATAGAATGTCTTATGTCCATTTGTCAATCCATGTCAGGACTGGGAGACCCTAAGTGGGGGCAGGTCTCCCCGCAGCATAAGGAAAATTTAATGAAACAAGTGGCAAAGAGCTTGCCTAACATGTTCAAGGGCCTAGGTTCACTCTCCAGGAACACACACACACACACACACACACACACACACACACACACACAAACAGGTGCAAACACAGATGTATATAGAAATTGGAGTGCACTTCTAATACTTAGTAAAATACCCAAACTTCAAGTAAAAACAACAAACTAAGAAGTATTTTAAATTTTTTCTTTATTCATGAGAATTTCATACATATATACGACGAAATATCTTATCTACCTCCATGTCCCCTCCAACTCCTCCATAGTCCCTTGACACACCCCTCTCCCAACTTCATGTCTTCTGTTTTTCTGACAACCCACTGGGTCCAATCAGTGCTGTCCATATGAACATGGGTGTGGGGCCATCCACTGGTGCGTGGGAAACCTGCTAGTGGCCACACCCTCAATAAAGGATGATTCACAAGCTATTCACTTACAAGCCACACTTCTCTCTTAATAAACAGGACGTAGTCTTGAGGAAGACTTGGTATAGCCTGCTGGGAGAACTTCGAAGTACTGAACCCAATCTCTGACAAACAAATTTTCTAAAGCATTTGTCCAACTTGCTAATACGTCACAACTTAAGGATCTTGTAGATCAATGAGAACGAACCATCAGTGAGGCACTCCAAGAAAACCACTGTAGGGGCTGGAGAGATGGCTCAGCAGTTAAGAGCACTGACTGTTCCTGCAGAGGACCCAGGTTCGATTCCCAGCACCCACATAGCAACTCTGAACCGTCCTTAACTCCAGTTCCAGGGGAATCCGAAGCCCTCTTCTGACCTCCGCAGCACTGCGCAACAAGGGTGCACTCACATACACACAGGCAATATATTTATACACATAAAATAAAAACAATAAAATATTAAAAAAAGAAAAATAAAACCACTATAAGTAGAACTGATAGCTAACAAAATGATTTGAAAAATGGCCATGTCCACATCCTCCTTCTGTGTGGTTCCCCTTCCTCTATAATACAGAGCCTCGGCTACACATTAGAATCATTGGAAAATCCCAGTACCCAGAATGCACCACAAACCAATTACATCAGACTATCTGGAGTAAGACACAGACACAAGTACATCTTACAGCATCCCAGGCGGTTCCAGTGCCTAATCCAGGCTGAATGTCACTGTCACTAGCCTGCCAGAACAGGACTGGAAATCTCTTCAGTGAAAGTGGTCCAAAAAAGTATTGTAGATACTCTAGAGCTGATTTAATGTGTACTGAAGGATGCGTGCAGGTCATATGCCAATACTACATTGTATAAAAGGGACTTGAACATCCATGGGTTCTGGGAGACAACCTCTGCAGAAACTGAAAGATGATTTTATTCCCTGGCTAGAAATTGAATCCTCAACTATTTCTTGTCAGTCATTTGCTCAGGAGATATGTACTAGCCCCTACTACAAATCAATGATCAGGTAGTGTTAAATATACCTTTGGGTATATCTATGGGGTATTTTCTTGATTGCTAATTGGCATAGGAGGGCTTAGGTAGCGCTAAATATGCCTTTGGGTATATCTATGGGGTATTTTTTTGATTGCTAATTGGCATAGGAGGGCTTAGCTCCCTGTGTGTGGGGTGGGGGTGAGGGGGGAGCTGCTATCCCTGGGCAGATAGCCCTAGGTTATATAAACAAGCTGACTGAGAATGAGCCAGGGGAAGCAACCCAGTGAACAGTGTCCCTCCATGGTCTCTACTTCAGTTTCTGCCTCTGAGTTCCTGCTGTGAACTCCTGCCTTGGCTTCCCTTGATGATGGACTGTAACCTGTAAGATGAAATAAACATTTTCCTCCCTAAATTGCTTTTGGTCATGGTGTTTATCACGGCAACAGAAAGCAGTAAGTAGAATACTCCCGCACTGGTTCTGTTTCTTCAGAGAACCCTTACTAACATGGACCCTTCCTGAATCATGTACTTCCTGGCATGAACAGTTTCTATTCCTCAATCAATTATGTGGCATAAAGAGTAGGCTCTGATAGGTTATGCTGCTATAATTACTTAAGATGAAGGACCGAAGTCTGCTGAAAATATTCCTCCTGCCTGGGTATTTTGGTTGACATTGAATCATATACTACAGTGGGATGGCCCCCACTATGACAGATATCCATCAAAACGATGGAGACTTTGCCCTTCACAAACTGCTACATATTATAATAGATTTCTTACTTATCTAGGATTTCTCTTGGAGAACATTTAAGAGAGTCACTGGTCCTTGTGAGAGTTCAAGATACACTTGTCCATCCTTTGCTGGGCTATTTAAAGTAGACATATTTACCTTTTTGAGAACAACTTGTAATTTATGTTTCTAGTCCAAGGAATACTCTCCATAGTCAAACTGGAGTGTAAGATGTTATCATCTAAATCGTTTTTGATTTATGATCTATTATGAATTCCTGAGAGTCACCTTGAAATCATTTTCCTGGCATTTGCACAACTGACACAGGTTACTGGTAACATTGATTATTCTGTCATCACTTGCTATTCCTTTCAATTCACCCAGTGCTTGGTGTAGCATTTCACAGACTCAAGGCAACTTGTCCTCATCAGAGAACTAGATCTCCAAGGTCCCCTGACCATAGCAGATAGTCGTGGAATTTCCCATCAGTGATGGAAATGTTGGTAGCCATTGAGTAACTGGTTCCAGAGTAAGAGCCACTACCTTTACCGTGTTAGCTAGTAAACAAAGTCTTTCATGTGTTAACTCTGTCTATTATTCTGTAAATAAAATTCTGTCTCTTTTCTGTAAATAAAATAGGTTTAATTTCATCAGTATAAAAACCTATTTCAACTCCAGCTATACTAGTTAAATTGTGTCTAAACAGGTCAAGATTTCAAAGTGTTAGTAGTGTGAGCTGTGTCCTATCAGCAAGTTATAA